AAGTTGGAGCTACTACGAGCAAGTGACTACAGCCACAAATATGAAGAAAAGCTGCGGAAGGGCCATGGAAGTGACTTGAGGGCCTCGGATATAAGGTCACCGGGTTAGTTTGATGAATAAGGACTGACAAATCCCGAAACCAGGAGGAAGGGACGTTGGATTAAGATTGGACTTGATTATATGCTTCTTTCTCTTTTTTCGTTTTTTTTTTTGGTTTTTTTAATTAGTAGAATGTTTTATAAAGCTGATGAATGATAGAATGAGAGAAAAATGAATGATAGGAAAATGTTGGAAGAATTTACCTGGCTTTAGCAAAAATGTATAAAGAATTATGAAAGAACATTATGAATATAAGAAGTGGGTAAAGTTAAGATCTAAATTTTAAATTTTAAAGTTTATTTTTATAATAGAAGGAAAGGATTTGCTGGGATAATTAAAAACTATTAAAGAATCATGAAAGAACATTATGAATATAAGAAGTTGGTATAATTAAGATTTAAATTTTAAATTGTAAGGTCTATTATATAATAGAAAAATGGAAAGGATTTGCTGGGATAATTAATAACTAGAATACAAAGGAAGGGAGGAGGAGGAGGTCTAATGTTTTTTTTTTTCTTTATTATTATTTTTCTTCTGTATTTCTTACTTTTTCATATTTTTATTTTTTTACTTTTGTATCTTTTTCTTATTGTGTGTATTCCCTATTTTTTGTTTTTGTGTAATTTTTGTATTTTTTTTTGTTTTCCTTTGAAATCTCAATAAATATTATTAAAAAAAACAAAAAAAACAACAAACTATTGATTTGAAGGATACACATTTTAGAAGCAACTTTTTATTTGCCACAATCATTTATATTTATCATAATAACCACATTGATAGACAATAATACAGCACTATTTTCTCTGTGTCCTGCAACCCATTTCCCTCCATGAACAGCAAAAAAAGAGAGGAAGAGACAGGGATCCCAATGCCTGACTCTCACCACTAGGAATCACCCTCACGTTGCTATGAATTACTGAATTCACAAAGAGGAGATTTATGCTGAACCATAATTACCCATCAATGTGAGGCTGGTGTTAGATATGTGAAGCATTATAATAGTTATTTCAACTGGAAAAGCGTTTGAGGCAGTGGAGATAAAGGGAAGTGCCAGAGAAACCAAAACTCCAAAGTATACAGTGGTGCCTCGCAAGACGAAATTAATCCGTTCCGCGAGAGTCTTCGTCTAGCGGTTTTTTCGTCTTGCGAAGCAACCCTATTAGCGGCTTAACGGATTAGCGCTGTTAGCGGTTTAGCGGCTATTAAAGGCTTAAAGGCTTAGCGGATTAGCTGCTAAAAGGCTATTAAAGGCTATTAAAGGCTTAGCGGATTAGATAAAGGGGGGGGAGCGAAAAAAAAATCTCAAGACTCGCAAGACATTTTCGTCTTGCGAAGCAAGCCCATAGGGAAATTCGTCCTGCGAAGCAACTCAAAAACGGAAAACCCTTTCGTCTAGCGGGTTTTCCGTCTTGCGAGGCATTCGTCTTGCGGGGCACCACTGTACTTTGAGGAAGTTGCAATACAAAACTATACAGACTTATCTGTGAGTAAGACCCATTGAAATCAGTGGCACTTACATCTAGATAGACAGGTATAGAATTGCACTGTAATCCCTTTGAAATAAATGGTTATTAGTTCAACCAAAAGTGCATAGGAGTGTGCTGAAATCCCTAGGAGTTTGCTCCAATCCTTCCAGCCAAATATATTTATTGGTGAGGGATGGGGTGGAAAATTGAGAAATATCTTTCGCTTTCAAGGAAGGAAGCAAACTTCCTTTGAAACTGGAGGTGGAACATAGATATTGTGGGTTATTTTGCCCTGCCTGAGTTTGTCTAATCCTCTTTTCAAGTAATCTAAGCTGGTGGCCATCACTGCCTCCTATGGAAGTGAGTTCCATGATTGAACTATGAACTGCATAAAATATTATACAGCATATAGCTTCTGAACTCCGCTAAGCATGCTTCATCCCTCCTTTCAACTATCTCAGCTAAAATATTTGTGATATTATGGGTTTAATCGTTAAATAGAATACTTTTCTTTTTTCTTTAACTTACTAAACACAAGGAAAATAATTAAGCAACATTAGGTTACCTTCTCCAGGACATCGGAAATTTTTGTTAGGTCTAATTGGAGATGAATCTATGTTTGCCACAATGGCCACAAGGATACTCCTGGCCCAGAAATGAAAATCACAGGAGATTCCAACATTGGAAGAATGTTGGAGTAAGATGGTGGAATATATTGAGTTAGCAAAGCTGACGGGAAGATCCGGAATCAGCGCGACGAACTGTATCAAAAGGACTGGAGCAAATTTATATTATATATGAAAGAATATTGTAAATATCTGAAAACATTTGTAGCTGTGAGTTGAAATGTTTTGTAATGGCAATATAAGGAACTGATTTACAATTCATAAAGGGAAATATAAAAATAAGAGAGAAGGTAAAAAAGTGGTTATAGAAATGCTAAGAATAAAGTAATTACGTACTGAAGTCAGAAAAAGGGGCGGGAGGAGGTTGATGCTTGGATAGAGCAATGTTTGAGCATATGGATTAATGTATGGATATTGTGATTACAAAACACTGAAAATGTAATAAAAATATTTTAAAAAAGAAAAGAAGTGAAGCATAATCTGCATCAGCAAAATTCTTCAACTTAATCATAGAATTGTAGAGCTGGAAGGGACCTCAAGATTGATCTAGTCCAACCACTGTAACTCCCCCCATGGGACTCGATCATGAATTTGAGAGTTTCATGCTCTATTGGCTGAGCTATAGAAAACCCACATCAGTGGTGAAAGCCACAGTTGGATTGACCTAAGAGTGGACTAGTCACATTTATGGAAGAGGCTATCAGTGGCAATTAATTTGATGGATATACCATTTCCATTTGCTCGGGGAGAACAGGGGGAGTGGGCGACTGCCCTCCTGTCATGATAGTCCTGTACCAATGGACATCTGATCATCCACTCCAAGAAGGATGCTGCTAGACTGCAGGGTTCTTCTTGTCTTCTGAAAATGGAGGGTGGGATTTGAAGCAGGGATAAACAACTACGTAGCTGGATTCAGTTCAAGAGAATGTGGCTAAATCTAGTCATCACTAAACAAATCAGCTGGCTCAAAGTATCCTCTGCCTTTCACAACAATCTGACACAATTAGAACAAGGAGGGGCAAAGTTCAGTAAAATGATTTAATCAGCTCTCAGTAATAATCTTAGAGTCACTGTATTCTCTTAAGTGCCTACCAGTGTGTCCCTGGCACCTTTCAACAGCCCTGAGGTATGTCTAGCTTTGCCAGCTGAGCAGTCACCTGAGTAGTACCTTGAGGCTTTGATTGCACTTTGATTAGTAGCCTGGAAGAAGAGAAAAAGTATATTGTTCCTTCCAACTCAGTAAGCGAAGGCAAAAACAGAGGAATTGGATCAGAATTATTTTTTCTATTTCTAATGATGAGCATGGTCACATGGCCTCAATTGACTTTGCAGCCTTCTTGGAACAAGTTGCTCATTTGGAGCTGTTTGTGGTACTGCAGTAACATTACCTTACAGTGGTACCTCTGGTTAAGAACTTAATTCATTCTTATCCTTAGGCGCACTTTCACTAATGGGACCTCCTGCTGCGCGCGATTTCCATTCGCATCCTGGGGCAAAGTTTGCAACCAGGAGCAGCTACTTCCAGGTTAGCAGAGTTCGTAACCCGAATCATTCGTAGTCAGAAGTGTTCGTATCCAGAGGTATCACTCTGCTTTCTACCTCAGCCTTACTTGCCTGCCCCTGAAGTGATTGCTTTGCTGCCACTGAATCACCCTCCTTTTTTCTGTGTGGATCAGTTTTACTGGTTGAAACCTCCATTGCAGCCACGTGCGCTGCAATATGAAGTCAACATTTTAACCACAGCTCATCCTATACTTCGCAGCCTTGCTGGGATGGATCTAGTATCCAGGCTTTTCTCTTCTTTAGAAGAGGAATCCTTAGATGGAGACTGCATTGAGGGGGTTTCTTGTAGGTGGCTTCCGGGCTTTGCCATTGCCTTTTTTGGTTCTCAGCTCCTTTATTGGGTGCCATCAGAATTTAAATTTTATATTACCGTATTTTTCGCTCCATAGGGCGCACCTGACCATAGGGCCCACCTAGTTTACAGAGGGGGAAATCAAGGAAAAAAATATGATTTCCCCCCCCCCCCAGCTCTGCGATCAGCGGACAGGCTGCTGGCAGTCTGTGCGCTTTTCCCAGACCTTCTTCCTTCTTTTGCGGGAGGTGGGGGAATTCCCCCATCTCCTGCAAAAGTCCACAGGAGCCACGCACCCTTTAAGGAGCGCACGGCTCCTATCGGCTTTTCTACGAGGAGGGAGAAGGGACTGACGCAGCCAGTCAGTCCCTTGTCGCTCCTCGGGGAAAAGCCCCCCCAAGAGTGGCCCCGCAAAAGCCGTGTGCTCTTTAAAGGGGCTGCGCGGCTTATGCTGGCTTTTCTGGGAGGTTGGAGAATTCCCCCACCTCTCGCAAAACCGGCAGAAGCCGCACGCTCTTTAAAGGGTGCGTGGCTCCTGTGGGCTTTTCTACGAGGTGGGAGAAAGGACTGATGCGGCCAGTCAGTCCCTTCTCCCTCCTGGGGAAAAGTCCCCAAGAGCGCACGGAGCTTGTGTGCAGCTCTTGGGGGCTTTTCCCGCCTGCCTCCCCCCTGCATTCGCTCCATAGGATGCACACACATTTCCCCTTGCTTTTTAGGAGGGAAAAAGTGTGTCCTATAGAACGAAAAATACAGTAACTGTATAGAAGAAAAAATTTGAAAAGTGCCTGTTGACAACTAATGAGATTATGGTGAAATAATTCAGACAATTTCAACAGTGAGCTTTGAATTTCATCATTTTCTCTATGTCTTTATGCCAAAGTGTTGCCTGCAGCACAAACACGTAGCCTGTAAATCCCTCCAAGTAAGACTCTATGTGCATCAGTTCTCTTTCTAGAATGATGAAGGCACTCCTGAGCACATGCCTCCTCTTGGCCCTGCTTTCTCCAGGTAAGTAGGAACCAGTAGGATGGGGAACTTTTACAGTAATAATATTTAGAGGACAGAGGAATCCGGAGAGCTGAATTTAAGAGAGCTATTGTGTTGTAGACATTAGAGGGTCAGACAAGGATCCAGGAGACCAGGGTTCAAATCCCCACTCAGCCACAAAGCTCACTGGGGGATCCTGGACCAGTCACTATACCTCAGGTTAACTTACCTCACAGGGTTCTTGTGAGGATAAAATGGGGAGTAGAGAACCATGTACACAGCCTTGAGCTGCTTGGAGGCAAGTGCAGAAAACAAATAAATCAAAAAAATTAGAAGCCAAGAGCAACTAAAATGGATAGAATTTTAAAATGATTTTTGAAATATCCTAGTAACTGAAGGTACTATGTTTAGTAGCCACTGGTAGCCTAATTCTGCATCATTTGCCTAAACCTTTTGTGAGGCCATTCAAGTTGATAGCTTTGTCAGTCTTACGAGAGAGGATCAAAATGTTTGTATTTCCACTTTGTCCATGTCATGCAGAACAGTATGTGCTTCCAGGAAGTCCCCTCTTCCCCCCCCCCTTAACTGTCCTAACCCCCTCCAAAAAAAAAAAACATCGCCAACATTTTTCATAGGTAAGTTGCCCTAGCATAGCTAGTAGAACCCTTAAAGACCAACTCTCTTAACCTGGATCTAACCCTGTTCATTTAACTCTGCTTAAAACTGGTTGAAATGCAAAATCTGCTCCCCAACAGGTCTAGTAAGTGATGGGACAGAGTATTCCTGCAGAGGCTACCCAGTTTCCACAATGCTTTTTTTCATGCCTAAATGATGGGATAAGCCTTCCTCCTGCTTATCTGGCCATTGCTCCTTTATCTAAGCTCATGTCTAAGATTGTAAATGAACAGTAGGGGGGGGAGGCATTGAAGTGATAGAGTGGATGGGAGGAAAAATGGGCCATTGGACAGGGAGGGTTTTACCTCTTGGAAATAATTAAACCAGTGTTCTGGCCAATGGCTTTTACTCATTTCATTTTATTGAAAGATCTTGTTAACTTGAACCCCATTTCATTTAAAAGATTTAATTTTCTCTCACCTCCTTCTCTGTGTCAAATGAAGGAAATCACAAAACCAAATAATAATAATGTTAATGACAATAACAATCCATGAACTAATCTTTTGCTCCTGTCCTCAGCATTGCCTCTGAAGTGCAGAAAGGCAGTTAACAGGACTGGACTGACATATGATCGCTATATAAGACAATATTGTAAATTTGGTCAAGATTTCTGTTCTGCCAGTGTTCTGCGTACAAATCTAGGTAAGATTTATCTGGTTTTTTGTCTTTTGTTTTTGGAATTACTAAATTAGTTGTAAGGAAGCTGTGGCACATAAGCTGTAGATGAATGAGAACTCCCATCTGCCTCATCTATCCTGGCCACCAGTCACAGATGATGGGAGATGTAGTCCAGCAGCATCTGGAGGATGGCAGCTTCCCAATCCTGCAGTAAGGAATCACTAACATTTGAAAATGGGGAATTTAAAATCACCTGATCACAAGCATCAGATTTCCATCTTGATGTACATATTCACCCATCCCTTCTTCCCTAGAGTGTGCGGTTGCCATTTTGTGGTTCGCCTCAAGTGCCAAAATACCTTGGGGCTATTCTGGGTGGGATGGTGGTGCTCCCTTGACCATCTGTTCCTACATCATTGCTACATACTTGGAGGGAGAGGGGGAATGGGACAGTGAGGTTGGTGCAGTTGAAGTGCACTGCCAAGTCTTCTTCCTTGGCGATCACTTGTAGCTGAGTAAGTTTGTCTTCCATAAACACGGTTTTAACAATGAGTCCGTAAGTGACTGTGGAGGCCAATTCTGGATCCACATGTCCTTCCACAGTGGGGGCATTGGTTTCCAGACAGGAGTGGATTTGCCAAGCGTGCCTTCCTGCTAGCATGTTTCTCCCTTGCGTCCTGAGTTCAAGTGTCTTCAAAGCCTATGTCACCTTTGTTAAAGGCTGTTCTCCAACTGGAGTGCTTGCAGGCCAGTGTTTCCCAGTTGTCAGTGTTGATGCTACATTTTTTTTTTTATTTGCCTTGAGACAGTCTTTAAACCTCTGCCAAGTATCTTGGGTTGGGCAACAGGAGTTCAGGGAAGTATTTTCCCGCCCTGCAAATGGTTATGATCGACTAGCAGAGAGAATGCAGTGTATGGCACATGTATTGTCAGATGTATAGAAGAAGCCATGATACTTCATGCTGCAGATTGGACCTGAAATGAAGTTCTACATTCATTCCAAATTTAATGCCTTTTACTGAGCGCCGCAACCCCAGAGTCGGTTACGACTGGACCTAATGGTCAGGGGTCCCTTTACCTTTACCTTTTATGATCGTAATAAATCTTTGAAAGCTTTGGTTGTATTTACAAACTACGGTTGCAATCAAAATTATTCATGCCCCATTGCAAATTGGGTTTATTATCAAATTTTACAGACTTCTAGCTGTTTGCATTGAGAAAATCAAACAAAAGCCATTGAAATAGCTCTGCAAAATTGCTGCTTCAAGTGGCTCCCCCAAATTCAGCTGAAAATGCAACTTATACTGCCAAGAACAAGAACATTATTTATTTCGGTTGAAAGACCCACAAAATCATTTTAAAAGCAAAAAAGGTAAGAAATACAGGGAAGATTAAAAGGTGGTCACATTGTTTTATCCACAGTATGTCGGTTTCTATTTCTTATTAGTTCTGAGAGGAACTTAGCCAAGGCCAGGGTAGTATCATCTGAGTTATATTGGCTTCTCTACTCTCACTATTATTCAACCCATCCTTGGCAAGCATCTTTTAAATGCCTGCAGAAAAATTTGTATTCCACCAGGCTCATACAAGCCATTCAGAATACATCTTTCCATTGGTTAATTGATATCTGTTTCTTTTCTTTTTACAAAGTTTTTATTGTATGCTTTATATTTATGAGTGGAATCATTTTGATATTTTTCTTTCAATGATATATAGGTGTTTGTACGTATATATAAATTAATAAAGCCCATCACCTTAGATTGCAGAATTCAATAATATTTTGCATGTTGTTTGTTTGAAAAGGTTCTCATTCAGACATTACAGAAAATTGGAACCACTACAATGAATGTGTTTTAGGAGCAATAAACCTCCATATCTAAATATTTCTTTCAAATTCTTTTCATAGTTAAATTCCAAGAGCAACTTTTGAATAGATGCTCATCATCCATAAGCTGTTTCTCAGGCCATTACAGCTTCACTGCAGGGGATGGTAAATTCTTTCAGATGAAGAAGCACTGCTGCAAGACTGAACTGTGTAACAATGCAACTCTCAGCCGTACGTTTCTGCATCAATTTAGAATCATTAACATGTTAGGGTTTTTCACTGAATTTGGCCATGGTCTGGATCCTTAGTCAATCAGCAGTACTTAGAGAATCTGTGCCTCATTCAAATGGGGTGAGACAGCCCCAGGTGGCTACAGGTTGGGTTGAGCAGCTCAGGACTATTAGGGGCTCTCAAGGGATGGAGAGTCAGGCAGGACGGGGAGGCAGTCATGAGGAGAAACTGTGAAAAAAGAGGGACCTAGCTAGAGACACAGGTGGCGCTGTGGGTTAAACCACAGAGGCTAGGGCTTGCCGATCAGAAGTTCGATGGTTCGAATCCCTGCAATGGGGTGAGCTCCCATTGCTCGGTCTCTGCTCCTGCCAACCTAGCAGTTCAAAAGCACGAAGTGCAAGTAGATAAATAGGTACTGCTTCGACGGGAAGGTAAACAGCATTTCTGTGCGCTGATCTGGTTCGCCAGAAGTGGCTTAGTCATGCTGCCAGATTACCCGGAGGCTGGTTGCAGACAAACGCCAGCTCCCTCAGCCAATAAATTGAGATGAGCACCGCAACCCCAGAGTCGTCTGCAACTGGACCTAATAGTCAGGGGTCCCTTTACCTTTTACTTGGCAGCTACGTCTGCCAGAGAAGGGATGGGTTGCCTTTCCAACCAGGCCTCTCCTTCTTCCTGCCCCTCAAAGGAGCACCATGCAGGATCAGATCATCCTACTGATAGGTGGGAGGATCTGATCCTGCACAGTGCCAGTGCCCCTTGTCCCAGCCATGTTTTTACTGTATGTTAAGATATGGTTACACATCGCCCCTATAGCCAAGTGATGTAAGATTCCATGGGAACCAGGCATGCTGTAAGCCAGGCTCTGTGTTTCCTGTGGGACCATAATGCACTCTGGTGTCTTTATGATATATGGTTATGCATAAATATATCCAACCTGAGGCCTACAATGAAGACATCCACCAGAATATGTCCTGTCCCTCTCATAGGCACAGCAGCATCCTTGCCTTGGCAGTTTGTCTTTTCCTGGGAATGGTCACATTCCTCATATTCTAATAAAACCTAATCCTGGTTTTATTACTACACAGGGAGCAGCTTCCATTCCTTTGTTGTGCTGCTGTGCTAATCTGCTATTTTAATGACCCACTTCCCCAAAACGGTTACCTCAGAAGTAGATTACTTCTGACATGAGTCATGTTGATTTTCTAGGGTTTAGAAGTGTCTAAAGAAGTGTCAGTTATGTCAGCTTAGGAACTTTGCCTACATTAAGTAACCAAGTGGATAAGTAAAATAATAAAAATAAAAATCGGGGATAAGAATACAATCTTCAAGATGCCTTTATAACATTTCCTATGCATAATTAGCCGTGAATGATATTTCATGCAATATAATTGGATACCTAGGTGCATGAACAGCTCATAAAAGGTTATGGTCCCTTTAAGATAACATTCAATTTGATGGTCCAGATTAGATGGTTACAACCCACCTATCTTATCCAGGTGTCCTCCTAAATGACCCTTGAACTGTTTCTGGTCAGTCTTTTAATTGACAAAATAAGTACTGACTAAGCTGGCAGTTATTCTTAATTATTATTATTTATTGAATTTATATACTGCCCTGTACCTGCAGGTCTCAGGGAATTCACAGAAAGTGACAGTTAGTTCATTGCGGAAGTGCAAAAGACAGCCAGAAACTCTGTACAAAGATAAGGGACTAAGAGTATACCTTTTCATAGAGGCTACACCATAATCAATGGCAGGAAAACCTTCTGAGAGATTGAGAAGGGAAGAAAGTTCACACTCCCCCACCCCCTTTATGTAAAGGTCATTCATCTCAGAGAACAATGGTGACTTTGTCCCATGCTCAGTCCTGAACCCAGATCGTGTCTAGATTATATTTTATCCAAGAGTACTTGCAACTGCCCCACCAAAACTAAAAGGCCCTAGGGTGGATTCCATTAGTACAACACAGAGATACAAAAACAGAAGAAGACATTAACATGCTCACTATACTTTTGATTTTGGCAGTTCCTGATCGCAACATGCTGGCTGAAAATGGTTTGCATTGCCCATCCTGCTTTTCTAAAGGAACCATAATGTGTAAAAGTGAGAAGACCATCAACTGCCTTGAGAATGAGACCCAGTGCATTCAATCCACAGTAGCTCTTGTTACCGGTAACATTGCTACTCAGACAAGGAAAAAGGCCTAGTAATTCTTGGTCATGCAGACTCTCTCCTTGTCTCCTTCTCTCCCTTCCTCCTTTTCCCTTGCATGTTGCACGAACAGTGAGAGGGATCATATCTCTCACTGACCCGACTCTGCACCCTTCCGTATTGTTTTGCCTGCCTGGTCTGTGTCCTTTAACTCTCATAATGCCACTTGCTTGTCCGGAAGGAGGATTCAGAGTGAGATGTGTATATAAAATACCCTTCTGAACAAAAGTAAAAAAAGTGCATTGATTGCTTCACCCCAGTTGAATCCGGATCTCTCCACCACTGGGATGCAGTCCAGGACAAAATGTGTCCATCTTACTCAAAACAAATATTTATTATGTAAAAGGAATGTATTACATTTCCTTAAATTCTGTGACAATGAGCAGTATCTGGTTAACTCAGACCATTAGTGGAAAGATTTACAGTTGTGCAAGAGAATTTCCTCTCTCTTTTGCATGTATGTGCTCTGAATCCTCCCAAAATCTGCTCCACAGAATTGGGAAAAACCTCAGAATTCATTTAGGGGATACACAAAAGGAGGAAGAGAGAGAGGATATGTTCCTTTCTACAACCATACATTATTTTGTTGATGTCATGATTTAGCTACATCCGTAAAGAGTCTTTAACCCAAAGTGTTTGTAACCCGAGGTACCACTGTAAATCAATTTTTGATGTGTCTAGATCCAGTTTTAGATGGAGACCTCTCTATCAGCAAATTTTTCAGGAATAATGCTACATTGGGAGGGAATTTGAAATGAATGGGGGAGGGGCAAATGGCTGATTTGCCTCCAGGAGAACAGAGGCAATTTCCAGGCCATTTGTGATGCTTCTGCCCTACATTCTTTCTTCTCTTATTTCTGCTGCCCTTTACAGCCTTGGCTTTGCTAGTTTCTCTTTTAAGGGTTGAGTAAGATATCTGAGGTGAGTACCTGATTGGCCCTTGGGAGTCACCTTTTTCACCTGCTTTATGTTTGACGTGTTTAACATGAAAATAGATATGGTAAAATAAAAGGAGGATTCTCTGGATACTTAGATCACAGTGGGGCAATGAGGGAGCCTCCGTTGGCACCCAACCATCCTGAGAGACAATGAAGTGCATCTCCAGCTTTTTTTGTTGCTGGATCACCCTGTTGACTTATGGCAGGTTCAGACACTCAAGGTTCAGACACCAAGGTGGGAGTGTTGTTTTCAGATCTTGCTGTGTGGCCGTAGCATGTGACTTTTAACATGCCCAGGAGATGGGGGGGGGGATAAAATTCCTCCCATTTTATTGCTACTCACCTGCCCACAAGAATTTGATTTGGTTAATCTTATCAATTAGGCCTGTTTTCAAATTCTCTGATTTCATTATATCTTATAAGTATAAGCTGTTTATTAAAAATATTTGTGTCTTGAGAGTCCTTTGGGTATGATAGCAATTTTAAATTATATCTGATCTAACTTTTTTACCTGAACTTCTAATGTTGAAAATTTTGTATATTCATGTTCTGACGAAATTATGATATTTCTCAGATTTCTTAAATATACTCTTTTAAAAACTAACTTATTAAAATTATCATTCACCATCACAGGCACCATCTCCTAGTCCCTGAGTAAAGGACTAAAGAGTAAAGGCCTGGTAGATGAAGGGAACGCAGTGGATGTAGCCTACCTTGATTTCAGCAAGGCATTTGACAAGGTGCCTCATGATATTCTTGTAAAGAAGCTGGTAAAATGTGGTCTTGACTATGCTACCACTCAGTGGATTTGTAACTGGCTGACTGACCGAACCCAAAGGGTGCTCATCAATGGTTCCTCTTCATCCTGGAGAAGAGTGACTAGTGGGGTGCCACAGGGTTCTGTCTTGGGCCCGGTCTTATTCAACATCTTTATCAACGACTTGGATGATGGACTCAAGGGCATCCTGATCAAATTTGCAGATGACACCAAATTGGGAGGGGTGGCTAACACCCCAGAGCACAGGATCACACTTCAAAACGACCTTGACAGTTTAGAGAACTGGGCCAAAACAAACAAGATGAATTTTAACAGGGAGAAATGTAAAGTATTGCACTTGGGCAAAAAAAATGAGAGGCACAAATACAAGATGGGGACACCTGGCTTGAGAGCAGTACATGTGAAAAGGATCTAGGAGTCTTGGTTGACCACAAACTTGACATGAGCCAACAGTGTGACGCGGCAGCTAAAAAGCCAATGCAATTCTGGGCTGCATCAATAGGAGTATAGCATCTAGATCAAGGGAAGTAATAGTGCCACTGTATTCTGCTCTGGTCAGACCTCACCTGGAGTACTGTGTCCAGTTCTGGGCACCACAGTTCAAGAAGGACATTGACAAACTGGAACGTGTCCAGAGGAGGGCAACCAAAATGGTCAAAGGCCTGGAAACGATGCCTTATGAGGAACGGCTAAGAGAGCTGGGCATGTTTAGCCTGGAGAAGAGGAGGTTAAGGGGTGATATGATAGCCATGTTCAAATATATAAAAGGATGTCACATAGAGGAGGGAGAAAGGTTGTTTTCTGCTGCTCCAGAGAAGCGGACACGGAGCAATGGATCCAAACTACTAGAAAGAAGATTCCACCTAAACATTAGGAAGAACTTCCTGACAGTAAGAGCTGTTCGACAGTGGAATTTGCTGCCAAGGAGTGTGGTGGAGTCTCCTTCTTTGGAGGTCTTTAAGCAGAGGCTTGACAACCATATGTCAGGAGTGCTCTGATGGTGTTTCCTGCTTGGCAGGGGGTTGGACTCGATGGCCCTTGTGGTCTCTTCCAACTCTATGATTCTATGATTCTATGATTCTATGACTAATGCCAACTTTTCTCCCCCCCCCCCAGGTGGATTGCAAGCCCACATTTTCACTTTCCAAGGTTGTGGAACAACAGATTTTTGTGCCATCGGGAAAAAGCCAATCAAAATAATTGGAGATGGGAACTTTGTCCTTTCTGCTACCCAAGAAAGTTGTTACAATGCTTCACGAATCTCACACAAGCCTGAACATGAAGAGTGAATGGGACAGTGTAGACCTCCTCCTTGTGTATTCCAAAATCTATGGCAATGAGGGGGAATTGGAGGCCTAGTGTTGAAAATCAGGACTCAGGATCTCTGTTTCTTTCTTTTTTGCTTTTGGTTGAAGTAAAGGGAAGCAAGGGGCAGAGAAAAAGAGGTCAGAATACGGGAATTGTGGATTCTAACTTCAAAGAATCCTGTTGTGTATCATTAAGAAACAGTTAAGTTTTCATTATGATGATTACAATGCAAAATAAATGGTTATGGAGAATCAAATGCTGGTTCTCAGATCTGTTTCTTTCAGATACAAATGCAATTATCATTTATTGTTTAGCCACACCAATTACGAAAGATACAATACATAAAACAGAATAAAAACAAAATTAACACATTGCACAACTAAAATTATTATTAGAATCAGATGATTCTTTAGATAAGAGGTTTCTCCTTTGAAAGATTTAAATTAGGGCATATTTTAAGGCAGAGTTCATTGGAGCTCAGCTCAGGCATCTCTCAGATTAGTGCCATTGCCATTCTAAGAGAACAAGGAACACGTTTGTGGTGAACTCTGGCACCGGCAAATCTAGAAAAATAGCGCTGATCCCTACAAACCTTTCTCCTTATAATCGTAACTGTAAAGGCAAAACAGATCAATTTTTCAGAGGGCTAAGGGGATTTGTACCCTTTGAATTTCATCTGCTGTAACAGCTGAGTCAGGTTCCCAGTTGATGCAAGCAATTTCATCCTCAAAATGCTTTGCAAATAAGTCACAGCATTGACAAGTCACAAGCACATTCCCTGGCTCCCAATAACAGGCCCTCCCCATTTTCACCTTGGACCTTTCCTTTTTCTCACCCAGCCTTTCACCCTGGGAGATGCCCACTTCTCCACCTCTCCACCTGGTTACTGGCACCAGGTTCAGATTTCCCACCACCACCATTTGCAGCACATTAAGCATTTTATTTTATTTTATTTTTTAAGCCCAGACCAATGTTTCATATCATCATGTGATTGAGATATTTTAGCATTACCTCATCTTTGTGACCCCCTTTTTTTAGTGCAAGGGGGTTTCCTAATTAATGAAACATTGAAAATGAATGGAGAGGGGAAATGCCACATTTTCTTAGATGTGATTACACACATATAACTTTACTTCATCCTTTAGAAATTTTGTTAGTATAACTTTACTTCATCCTTTAGAAATTGTTAGTATAAGCAAATACAAAAGACACACACATAGAAAGGAAATGAGTAGAAGGAGGTATATTTAAAATGAAATTAATAGCAATGTTGATGCTGCTAGGATGTATAAAAGCTAGAACATCATAAAAGTAGGAAAGGAGGTTAAATAAAGAGGGAAGTATGAGAAACAGTAAAAAGAGAAAGACTGAAGGAAGGGAGGGAGGAGAAAGAAAGGAGAAAAAAGAGAGGAGTTTGTGTGTGTGTGTGTGTGTGTGTGTGTGTGTGTGTGTGTTTAAAATGGACATAATAGCTGTTCAGAAGTCAGATCACTGAAAATAGGTTACAAGAGGAGATGTTATCTACAACCCTTTCAGTCATGTAGCTCCACTATGTCCAACCTGTAGATCGTGATTGACTGTTTGATCATGAAAAGAATTCTGCTGGACCGCTGTTGCTGAGGCCTCACCCTCCCTATCATGCTCCCTCTGCCAGAAACAAACCAAGCAGCCTCATCCCAATCTCCTCTCAAGGGAGGGGATGTTCTGATGCTGCACGCGCCCACCCTGTGCCACACCTGTCCCATCAGGGAAGCAGCCGGTGAGCTACTCTCACAAGATGGGGTTTTTTAAACCTGCCCCTGCCCCTTACCGGAGGAAACCTCACTTGTTGGATGCAGCCCCTGCAAAGGACATGCCTGCCCCACCCTGAGGGAGGACAAGCCCCCACCCCAGCAAGGTTTGGTGTGCATGGGCTGCAGCAAAAGCAAGTTTCTCTTTGGATCCCATGCTTGCATTGCTTGCATCATCATCATCATTGATCAATTAATTAAAATTATTACTTGCTATCTTGCCCAGGGCAGCTTAAAGTGACTAACAAACAACACCCCACAGAGAGGGAGGGGGTATTGCTTTGTGAGAAGGGGTCAATCTGGTTTTCATTATGTGCTTTGTGTTTTTCTCTTGTAAAGTGCCCTGAAATCAACAGCTGAAGGGCAGTATTCAAATGTTTTAAAAATAAAAATAAACCAAAGTGTGGGTGGGGGGTGGGAATTACATTATAAACACCCCACCCACTCCCAGAATATTAGGATGTCAACGCTCTTGCTAACAATTCTTCCCTTCAGGTCCAGGAGACACCTGTGGGTACAAAGGATGTCTGGGCGATTCCAGAAAGCAGGAATTAAATGACCACTCTCTGTTGCCCAATGTCTCCAGCAAAATATATCACCCAGGATGCCAAAAGAGATCTGTGGTACTGGTTTGGATCAAGACTGTATCCAAATATCCACCAGAAGTACAGAATACATATTTCAGAAAAATACAATAACAGTATTTTTAAAAATACTGATAAGCTACAAAACTGACAGTGTAAACTTGAATGGCCCCATGGATGCGAGCAGGTCCCAGGTTCACCTGATGTCTTAGAAGAGCATGTGTGTGACCTGCTAATTGTTGATTACTTTGTGCCTCATTAGGATTAGTTTGTTTCCAGCTCAGTTTTACCATAAAGCCTGAGGGAGGAACACATTTATTAAAATGAGGGCCTCCCTGAGGATATATAAGGATTTTCACAGTTGGTTTCGACTAGTGCCCAGGCTGAACAAGACAGAGGTCTGGGAGCAGTGCAATGGTTGGGCAAGCCCCTGGTTTCTGGTCTGAAAGGTGCTTCCAGCAGGAGGCGTGAGGACTCTGACAGGGTCCTAGAGTCCAACTGTCTTCTTCCCAAAGCCTTTTAAGGACTAACTAGGCTTTGGGAAAGGAACCCTCACATCTCCTTCCCAATGCCGCTGCCACCCCAGGAGGTGCTTCTGTGATCCTTCTCTGCTGGCAGGGAGAAATCAGGACACCCTGGAATCAAGGTACAACCCATGGCAGCTTATTAATGAATATTCTAGCCATTCTTACCAAATCGGGACTGTTGAGGGGTATACATTCAAATCAGCTTTAAAATAACTTTGTCTCCAAGGTGAATGGACTCTTGAACTGTAAGGAGAATATGAGAACATTTCCAAAGCAAAATGGTCAGAGCTGGAGGCCCATAGGATTGGTGTAAAAGCCCAATGCCTTTTGAATATGACTTTTTGTATGTTGTTTTTAACAAGTCTAAGGTACCTGAAGAAAGAAAGATCATTAGGCCCAGCCAGTCTCTTTCACCACCTGTTCTAACTCTTTTATCATTTCACTTATTTGAGAGATGTGTCATCTTGTATTGAGGTTAGATGATATAACCTTGCATTCAAAAACCGTCAAATCTCTACTTGCCTGCAGTTTTACATTAAAAACAAAGCTTTGATGCTTTATATCAGGAAATACCATACTTCTCCATTCCAAACTATTGATTTGGAGGATATACATCATAGAAGCAAATTTTTATTTTCCGCAATCATTAATATTTATCACAATAGGAATAATGATACACAATACAGCACTCTTTTCTCTGTGTGCTGCATCCTATTTCCCGCCACCAACAGCAAAAAAGAAAGAGACAGAAATCTTGATTCCAAGCATTGCCATCAGGCATCCAACCCACTCACACAACTGCTGTGAATTCACAAGGGGAAGGTTTATGATGAACCAAAATTACCCATCAGTGTGAGGCTGGTGTGAGATATGTGAAGCATTATAATAGTTATTTCAATTGGAAAAGAGTTTGAGGCAGGGGAGATAAAGGGAAGTGCCGTGCAAACCAAAACTCCAAAGTATATTTTGAAGAAGTTGCAATACAAAACTATACAGACTTATCTGGGAGTAAGACCCATTGAAATCAGTGGCACTTACATCTAGGTAGACAGATATAGAATTGCATTGTAATCCCTTTGAAATAAATGGTTACTACTTCCATAAACAGTGCATAGGAGTGTGCTGAAATCCCTACGAGTTTGCTCCAGTCCTTCCAGCCAAATATATTTATTGGTGAGGGATGGGGCGGAAAATTGAGAAACATCTTTCGCTATCAAGGAAAGAAGCAAACTTCCTTTGAAACTGAAGGTGGAACATAGATATTGTGGGTTATTTTGCCCCGCTGCGCTCCGGAGTCTTTGGGTGAATGGACCTTGTTTTAGAGGGGGAGAACAAGATTTTTTTCCCCCCCTGTTCTCCCCCTCCAATGGTTTTGTGCGTCCTATAGAGCAATTACGGTATTACACAGCACATAGCTTCTGAACTGCACTAATCATGCTTTATCCCTCCTTTCAACTATCTCAGCTAAAATATTTGTGATATTATTGGGTTAATCATTAAATAGAATACTTTTCTTTCTTCTTTAACTTACTAAACACAAGCAAAATAATTAAGAAACATTAGGTTACCTTCTCCAGGACATCAGAAATTCTGCTGAAGCGAAGCATAATATGCATCAGCAAAATTCTAGCGTAATTGCCACTGATAGCCTCTTCCATAAATGTGACTAGTCCACTGTTAGGTCTATCCAACTGTGGCTTTTACTGCTGATGTGGGTTTTCTATAGCTCAGCCAGTAGAGCATGAAACTCTCAATCTCATGGTCGAGTCCCATGGGGGGAATTGCAGTGGTTGGACTAGATCACTCTTGAGGTTAATTCCTTCCAGAGGTCCGTACTTAACCTGAAACTGTTCTTAACCTGAAGCACCACTTTAGATAATGGGGCCTCCTGCTGCTGCCGCGCCGCGGAAGCCCGATTTCTGTTCTCATCCTGAAACAAAGTTCTTAACCTGAAGCACTATTTCTGGGTTAGCGGAGTCTGTAACCTGAAGCGTATGTAACCTGAAGTGTATGTAACCTGAGGTACCACTGTATATCCATAAAACTACCGTAATTAGTTTGATGGATATACTATTTCCAGTTGCTGCGGGAGAACAGGGGGAGTGGGCTACTGCCCTCCTGTTATGATAGTCCTGTACCCATGGACATCTGATCAGCCACTCCAAGAAGGATGCTGCTACAATGCAGGGTTCTTCTCGTCTTCTGGAAAATGGAGGGTGGGATTTGCAGCAGGTATAAACAACTAGCTA